TGCTATATAACTAATAGTCCTACATTAAAAACACCATCACCTTAGTGTTCTATACAACTAACACATAAATATTCAGTTATCTAATAGTTATCAACAAAATCAAATGATTGAATTTATGACATAAGTTGAACAGTGAGAAAAAAAAATCTTATTTCTAAAGACTTTTTTAATGTATCGATCCCTAGCTAGAATAATATTGGTAAGAATTTGGTGTTTTTGACTCAAGACAAACTAAAAAGTGTACAATTATTAATTTTATTCAAAGACAAAAGGCTTTTCTTGTATAAAACCATGAAATATTTAAATATGTAACACAGACTTCACATAACGTACCTTAATGTATATTGAAAGTAATGAAACATTAAACTGTTTACACTAAATGTTTCAGCTACCCAACACACTAAAAGTGCCAACAATACAGTGAATCTGCTGTACTCAATACTTAATTTTTATGATCTATAATTTTTCTAAGGTTAAAAAAGAAATCATGTTTAATAGTTTTCAGCATATTGTGATGTAGATATAAATTCATGTACACAAGAAATCATGTTTAATTGTTTTCAGTATATTGTGATGTACATATAAGTTCATGTACACAAGAAATCATGTTTAATTGTGTTTAGCATATTGTGATGTACATATAAGTTCATGTACACAAGAAATCATGTTTAATTGTTTTCAGTATATTGTGATGTACATATAAGTTCATGTACACAAGAAATCATGTTTAATTGTTTTCAGCATATTGTGATGTACATACAAGTTCATGTACACAAAGTTAAATGCTTAACTCACTTACAAGACATAAGCTAAAACTCCAACTGCCCACATATCCGTATAAAAACCAATAGGTTCTCTGTCTACAATTTCAGGAGCAGCAAATTCAGCAGTGCCAGTAGAGATTTTAACAATTTCATTTGGATCCAGTTTTGTGGCCAGACCAAAATCAACCAGTTTTATGTCTGTGCCAGTCCGAGTCTGACACATGATGTTTTCTGGCTGTAAAAACATGGAATCATCTAGTGTTATATACATAACATTAGAACATAATATAAACCTTTAGTATTTATCATACATGACGTAGGTATAATTCATTAGAACAGAATATAAACCTTTAGTATTTATCATACATAAAGTAGGTATAGTTCATTAGAACAGAATATAAACTTTAGTATTTATCATACATAATGTAGGTATAGTTCATTAGAACATAATATAAACCTTTAGTATTTATCATACATAACTTAGGTATAATTCATTAGAACAGAATATAAACCTTTAGTATTTATCATACATAATGTAGGTATAATTCATTAGAACAGAATATAAACCTTTAGTATTTATCATACATAATGTAGGTATAGTTCATTAGAACAGAATATAAACCTTTAGTATTTATAATACATAATGTAGGTATAGTTCATTAGAACAGAATATAAACCTTTAGTATTTATCATACATAATGTAGGTATAGTTCATTAGAACAGAATATAAACCTTTAGTATTTATCATACATAACGTAGGTATAATTCATTAGAACAGAATATAAACCTTTAGTATTTATCATACATAATGTAGGTATAGTTCATTAGAACAGAATATAAACCTATAGTATTTATCATACGTGTAACTACATAAAAGTTATCAAAATATTATTAGCTGTGCAATGATGCATTTTACAGCTTAAATAGTGATAAATATACCTTTTTTTAACAATTGTGTTTTTCAATTGCATATTAATGATAAGGTTTTTTCTGTATTGTTTTCTTTAAACATTTAGCTCTAGCATAAAGCTATGATAATAGTAAAAATATGGTTCATTTATAGCGTTTTTATCTAAAATGAGGAACTGTTTATTTAACCTAATATTAATGACAAAATATGATACCATAATGAAGGTTAATTTTATATTTCATCTACACGATTAAAGAAAACTTTCATCCTCTTAGCTTACAATCTACACTTTAGCTATGGCTATGACTTTGCTTTGGCAAAGTTATGTTCATAATCATGTGTTTGTTTGGTAAAGTGTGAGACTAATGAAAATTTTCCAGTAGGTACTGGAACATCAAGTAGGGAAGGATGAACATCATTAAAGATATGACTGCTATAATGTTAAAAAGGAGATCTATTTTAAATTGTAGTTCATATAACTTAGCTTTCTTTGCTAATATTAAGTGCACTATAACAGCACACTTGTGTAAGCTACCATATTAACCACACATTGGACACTACCAGCATACAATCAACACTTGCAAACTTAAGTTGATTTTGCTTTATCTAATAGTATTAAAATGATAAACAATGTTTATATTCTGACCTTTTTTTTGTACCTGACCCATAGAAGCATATTTCACTAGCAATAGTACTGAAAAAATACAATAAAACTAAGCTCTCAACTTTCAAACACTCCACTAGATTCAGCTGCTTGCCATTTGTTTTCATACAGAGAAAGGTTGAGATGGTAAAGAGTTTACAGGGATTATTTTGTTATAAATCATTCTGACTTGATACTCAGATAAAAAATACACCAATCTTTTCCTGAGAAATAAAACACAAGTATAATCTTAATTCATCAAGTACGTTTACAATACTGACTTAATATATAACAAATATTGATTTAAAGGCTTACCTTGATATCTAAATGAAGAATATTTTTCTCATGCATGTGCTTTACCCCTTCACAGATCTGTCGCATGTAGTTGATCACTTCTGCCTCAGACATTTTGTAGTCGTCAGCCGTGACCTTCTCGAACAGTTCGTCACCTGCCATACTGTGATAAAATAAACATTTTTAAGTATGCTCATCTCAAAGTCTTAAAACTATTTCTTATTGTTTTTACACTAAATTTTGAGCTTGTTTTTTTGTTGTACAGAATAAAACTTTTTGGAAATAAGTAAACTCCTTGACTTACAACTCATAAATTAAAACCATTTCATCATCATCTTCAAAAGCATCATGAAGTTTAATCAGTTTGGGATGATGAAGTTGGTTCATTATGTCAATTTCCTTCTTGATGACAGCCTTCTCTGCAGGCTGGGACACCGGGATGAACTTTGCAGCAAAGATGTTTCCTGTCTTCCTTTCTCGGCATCGATGAACGACACCAAATGCACCACTACACAACAACACAAATAATCTACATGAATATCAAGTGCACATACATATGGCTGTGATAAAATACAAAAAATGAAGCTCATCAGTAAATGTATGTTGGAAAATACATTAAACATACTGCTAAACATAAAACAACATTATAAAACATAAAGTAGGTAAAACTTGACATAGCCACTACTATTATACCAATCAAACCTTAACTTTTCACCACAAAATCAAAGGCAAAATGTCAGTAGTTTTGAAACTAAACATAAGTTTTTAGTAAATAAAGGTATGTGATTTTTATTTTTAACAGTCGATTTGTTGGAAAAAGCATCTTTTTTTTTACATTTTACCGACTTTATAAACTAGTTTACTGCACTCTTTTATTTTCGTTTATAAGATTTATGTCAACTGTTGATCAGTAGAAGACTGATTTTGATGCATCCTTTGATCATGGAGATGTCTTCCTCCAAACGTGGAGATCATAACTTTATCAGAGCAATATCCATAACCAGAAAGCACTAGATAAAGCATTAAACGTAGCTAAGAGTATAACGGAACGTAAAAAGGCATTATATACTGTTTAAAGTTCAAAAAATGCATAGTTATGTTAATTAAAAAACTAAAAATTGTGTTTAGTATCAAATTTTATAGAGAGACCTTATTAACTACTGGAGCCTTTACTTTTAAAACAAATAAATGAAATATCATTATACCTCCACAGTAGAAAGTTTACCAATCGTATTACGTATCTGCTGGTCTGTTGAGAAGGAATCATCAGTTTTAGGAGACTCTGCTTTCAACCAAAACAACTACCTCTGAAGTTTCCCAATAGCTGTAAGAAATAGTTATGTAGAGAATTCTTGTATACTTGGCCACACTTCAAGTATCTGACCATTTGTGTTGACAAATTGGCAGTGTTATTACTAGGACAAATTTCATTTGGCAGTATCAGTGTTAACTTCCAAGTTTGTTGCTATATCACAAGCTTCTCCAATCCACCTTTCACTGCCTTGATGTGTGGTGCTATCCTCACAACTGGTTAAAGATGCTTGCCATGCTTCTATAGCTCTTTTATCTCAGAAACTGATGGAAATTTTTAGTTGTGCAACTTGTCAATCACACCATTGTCAAAAAGTGCTTTGATTTCTTCTTCATAAGGACCAAAATTGTGTACTCACTGAGCATCATGTTTTGGACACCAAACTTATTCAGGTGTAATCTTTTCTTTCAAAGTTCAAAACTTCAATTATTCTGACCAAATCAATTTCCTACTTGTTTTTGTTTTGTTTTTTAATTTCGTGCAAAGATACACGAGGGCTATCTGCGCTAGCTGTCCCTAATTTAGCAGTGTGAGACTAGAGGGAAGGCAGCTAGTTATCACCACCCACCACCAACTTTTTTACCAATGAATAGTGGGATTGACCGTTACATTATAACGCCCCCACGGCCGAAAGGGGCGAGCATGTTTGGTGTGACGGGGATTCGAACCCGCGACCCACAGAGTGCGAGTCGAGTGCCCTAACCAACTGGCCATGCCGGGCCTTTCCTACTTGATGAGACACCTAAGGAGCTGGTAGCCTGCACTTACATGTTATGGCCTTGAGGTTTTGATATTGTTTGTATATTTTTGTACATGCCTCATGTTCATTGCTTAAGCCGCTAATACGTTCATTTAAATTCAGGAAACATATATTATGATATCACTTTCTCTTGATCAGAAAACAAAAAAATGGGATGTGTAATTAATCATATTTCAATGTTAGACAAGCACCTTTTCTCATGAACTAGCTGTTAAAAATAATGTTACTTAAATTCATGAAGAAAAAGTTATTAAAATCTTACACTCCTATTTCTTCCAAAATGTCATAAAAGTCATAAACACTTGAAGTCTTGATATCCACGGGCTGTGGAATGTACTTCTCATACATGTCAAAAACTGTAATACAGAACAATATATCGGTGAAATTAAACTAAGCTAACAACCCTATATTCTAATAAAAAAAAATACCTTGATTTTTACATTGTTATCTTATTTGTGTCAATATGAAAAATAAACATTTCTAAATATTATGGTCTCTTCATCACTCAGAAATGTTTAACTTCTTTGTATCATTTTCAATTAAATAAAAATGGTAATATTAAATTAGTTTTTTATAGTATGATACTTAAATAAGACTCCTTATATCTAGTATTTGAGCTAATATTTTATCTGAACTGGAACACAACAAAAATGTGAACACTGAAATCAGTTACTTTACTCACAACTGTTTAGGTGTTTAATGAAATTTACTTGCTAATCGGGTATTGTAATTAAACAAAGTTAAACTAATAGTATAGAAAAAATAAGGTGAAAAATAACAACATCAAACATTTTAACAATTATTACACATTTAAATTTCAATTAGCTATGTTTCAAATATCTAAAATGCCCACAAATGAATCTAGAAGCAATTTAAATAAAATGTTATTGATAAAGAAATCTGATAAATGTACAACAGAAAGCAAGCTATCAAACAGAGGACACCACAAACATATTGTAAAGAGATATGTACTCTTGAAACTATAGCAGAGAAAGAAATGTGATGTTAAAATATATGCATACAAGCTTACATAAGCATGCACATCAAACTAGGCTTCACTTTAATGGCACATTTAGAACATATAGGCCTTCTTCCAGCATTTATATTTACTGTAATACTGTAGCATCTACAGATTCAGTTAGAGACTAACTTACCGAACTGATCATAATTTTTAACCCTTCCTTCAGATTTCCCACGAATCTTTTTACCAGATGCGTCAACTGTACAGACAAACACATTCAATAATAAAAACTTAGAAACTGTAAAACAATTTATATTCTACAAGCATTTATATCTATAGCGAGACAAAAAGATCCTGCTTGTATCTTTAAACACTTCATAGTGCATAGTAGGTGTATTTATTCTTTTATTCTCTTACAATAAAAGTATAGTTTGAATGCATTATATTAAAATGATTTTGGAGCCTCGCCATGTCAATACAGTCCTTATTGCCACATCTGGTTGTGCTCTACCTGATACCCATGTATCTTGACTATAGCCCTGAAGCATAGTTTCCATTGCAAATGGCTCTGTATTATAGCCTTACTACAGAG